CCTCCCGCCCGCCCCCGCATCCAGCCGTCCACTTAAGTCTCCCCACAACCACGTCGGGTCAGAAAGAAGCGTGAGGAAGCCGGGGGCTGGGGGGGCACCCGGGTCTCGGGCCCCGGCTCTGGCCCCGCGAGCCGGGCTCCGGCCTCTGAAGCCCGGCCTGGGGTCGGTCCCCGCCTCACCTGCTGGAACCCCTCCTCCCCAAGCTGCCTCTCGCTGCGCCCTCCGATTCCCTTTTCCACCCGCGACGGGCCCGCGCAGCTTCGCGCTTGCGGGGCTGCGGCGTTTCTCGCAGAGCAGCCACGCTCCGCATTCCCGCCGCGAGCTCCGCGCCTGGAGGGGCGGGGTCTGGCCTCCTTTCCCCGCCGAGGCCCCAGCACCTAAGCCGGTGCGGCGGACGCGGCAACTTTGTATCCAACGACTGAACGGTTGCTCCGAAGGCAACTGCAAGCTCCAGGCAGGCAGCGACTGTATCTGCGTTTTAACCACCCTTCCATCGGAGGTGCCCCGCAGCCAGCAGGCGCTCAGGGCATCTTCATTGAATGAGTGAGCGAGTGTAATGCTCACCTCCTCTTCTCCCTTCATCCCAATTTGCTGGACACATTTATGATTTTCTTAGGATTCCTCCTTCCAAGGTTCCCCCCTCTTCCCCTCAATTCCCTGCGCCCAGCCCTCAGTTTCCCCACAGTCCTGTGTTGGCTCTCGCCTCTTCTTTCAACCTTCATCACTTCTTAGAAAGCTCCCTACCCCGCCGGTGGGCTCGGAACACGTTCAAGCACCGTGTCTCCGTAGGCAGGATAATCCAGGCCCAGCCACACTGAATCCAAAAAAAGCTTTGCACGAATCACCCCTGAGTCAGGTTTTAGGTTTTTGTTTATTATTTTTTTTCCTGGTCATTGTTCAAAATCTGTTCAACAAATATCTATGGGGTATCTGTTATGTCCTAGGCACCATGCTAGATGCTGGAACAAGACCGGCAAAGTCTGAGCGACCCAAGGGGTGCCTAACACAGAAGAGAGTGGTCGTGGGAAGTGATGAGAGCTATCTTGGGGTACACCCAGTTCTTTCTTTTAGGGTCCAGCTCTTGTGCTTTCTGTAACAGGCCTTGGCATAGGAATGGGCTGGTAACAGTGGGCGTAGGTATGGGGCTACCCTGCCTTGCCTCTCCATATTTATTAGCTTTACAAATAAGCGACTGATTAGGTGGGAATGGAAGAAAGGAGCTCTCTTTTGCATTAGTTGGAACTAAGGGCCAAGAAAAATCAGTTGACTAATAAGATCGCTCTGCCCCGTTTTTCTTCCTCTGAGAGGCATGAGTTAGATGCTTAGCATCCTGTTTCCTGGAAGCGCTTCAGGGCAGGAGTCAGTTTCACACTCTCAGGGTAGTGGTTTCAAAAATTCTTCTCAAAGGGAGATACCAGGGGCTTTCCTGGACCAGAACTGCCTGGGGTGTATTGGAAAATGTACATTCTTGGTGCCCCTCGTGGACCTTAGCCAGCCAGACTCCCTGGGAATCTGCATTTTTAAACTCCCGAGGTGACTCTTAGGCACATAAGAGTTTGAAAACTACTGGGAGAGTCTGGGTGCAAAACGTCAGCCTTAATGCAGGGCTACTCTTTGCTTTTGGGACCGATTTCATCAGAATCCCGAGGAGTAAGCCATGTCCTTGAGCAGATGGGAATGCAACAGCTTTCTGGACGGAACCTTTCTCTTTTTAAAAAAAATGCAATTATTTCTTGGAAATTGGGCGTTCCGCCGAGCAGGTGCTCTGCTGCCGCTGGTGACTAACCGCGCAGCTCAAAGACCCGTCGGCTGTTTTCCCGGCACCGTATTTGTCACTGTCACTTTGCACCAGGCGTTTGCCCCGCCGACCACAGCGGGGCGCACGCGGCATGCGTGGCCGGCTTAGCTTCTTCGCGGGGCCGCCTTCCCGCCCTCAGCATCAGGCGAGGAGCTCCTTCCTTCGGTCTCCAGCTGTTGCTCTCTTCTCGCGAGAACTGCTCCTGCCGTCCTCTTCCCTCATCTACCCCCTCCCTTGGGCAGGTTCCATATTGGGTAAAATCTCGGGTCGCGGAGAGTCCCGGGAGCTCATCTCGCGAGAGTACGGCGGGAGCTCCTGTTCTCTGGCTCTGGAACAGCGACCACTGGAGCCTCAGCAGGCGCAGCAGCTGGAGCCGCGGTGCGGGGTCGCAGCCCGCAGCCGGCCCGATCCGGGAGCGGGTGCAAGCAGCGCGTGGCGGGCGCAGCCCTGAGCCCGGGACCGCGACCTTGCCCTTTAGCGGGGCTCGTTTCGATCGCTGAGGCGCGTCCAGCGGCTGCGGCTGACAGGGGC